CAGTGACCCAGGGCCCTTTACTCACCCCGCAAGCAGCTGAACCTCTCCCCATAACTCCCTCCCCCCCATGGAGAGGCAGCTGTGGGATGCGTCCCGCGGCACGGCGCAGGCACGGCCTCCATGGCAGCTCTGTTCTCTTTAACCTGATGCCTGTCAGCTCTTTCATTTGCAAAGGAAGATTTTACTCCTCGCTAGACGGAGCCAGGAGCCCATCAAAGGGATGAGAAGTGCCAGCCCAGTTCAAAGAGCTCTGGGGGTCTGGGGGGGGGGGCAGGGAAAGGAGGGGGGAGTTCTCCTTCCACCCCAGCTGCTCCCTTTCTGAACCACTCAGGGGTGCCAGTGCAGGGAGGGGCTGAGCAGAGCAGGGTGTTGTGTTGGGAGGGAAAAGTAGAGAGCGGGAGGGGGACGGAGCTGGGCAGCGAGTGGGAGAGCACTGAAGGGGACAATGACACTTAATTCCCAGACCCTGGGTGCAATGGCCAAAGGGCACCCGCTCGTGTCCCCGTAGCTGAGGGGGCTTCTCAGTCTTTCCAGTGGAGCCAGGCTTCCCGTGACCTGGGGAACAAGCTTTGTGGGGGGAAATGCTTAGTTATCTGGAACAACTTTTGCAAACATTGTTCATGCAAAAGAGCCTGCGAGGCTCCAAAAGCAGGTTCCCCCGGCCTACTGCTCACACGCAAGCACAGACAACACGCCTGCCCTCTGTGCACCGGTGCATGCATGCAAACATATCTACATGTATGTACTGTGTGCACATCGGTACACATGGGGCTGAAATTGACGAAATGTCTGAATACAAAACTCCCCCCAGCTCTGGCTGGGCTCAGACCTGGTGCTCCAATATGGGCTGAGAGCTCATTCCCTGGCTCGTGCCATCTCTACTCTCTGCACATGGGCAGCTGAGGGTACAGGCGGGCCTAGAACATACGGCTCTGCGTGTGTGCACACACACACACACACACACACGTCCATATGCAGGAAGTGGCCAGAATAGGACTGTAATTTCAACCCCTTCTCTTAGCAAAACCATCTTCAGAGCACGGGGGGAAACTGCCTACTAGATCAGTTGGTACTTTGGAGAGCGAGTGAATTCCAGGAGCATTTGCAGAGCTGGTTAATAACGTGCCCAGTGAGCTGCATCCCAAGTACGCAACCAAATGAAAGAAATTCTTTTCTCCTTTAATTTAAAAGTCACGTTGGGAAATCTCCAGTGGCCTCGCCAATGATTTCCCCCCAGGCTGGCTTTCTGGAAAATCTTTAATTTTGATCCTAACCAATTTATTATTATTATTACTAAGGTGCCACAAGTCCTCCTTTTCTTTTTGCGAATACAGACTAACACGGCTGCTACTCTGAAACCTGTCATTAATTTTGATCGTCACTCTTTGTGGAGTTTAGATCAGGGAAGGAGAGCTCTACATAAGGCCGCACTCCAGAGCAGCGGTGCCAGGGAACCAAACTGCCAATGAGAACAGGCAGCATCCAAACCCCACTTTCTCCAGCTTCGTCCCCTTTCCCCTCTCTCATGCTGAGCCCCCTTTGGTTCGGTTCTGTGTCACTCAGCCCCTGGTGGAGGGGCAGAGGCCCCAGCCCGTGGCAGCCAGGGGGCACTGACCGCGTGGGGCAGCAGGAAGGACGGAGCTGGGAGGATTAAACTGGACTGTTTGCTTGAGCAAACCCACGTCAACGTGGACACTGCCACCATCCTTTCAGCTGATGCTGGAACGGAGGGACTGGCAGGCTCTCCACCTGGGCCTGCTCTCTGAGAGAGGCCAGAGTCCGCTGTCTTGGAGAAAGGTCAAAGAACCCCAAATATCTCCTTAGGGCGTCGGCTGCCCAGCGGGGCTGTCTCTCCCTGTTGGCTCCGGGTTGGCTCGTGCCCTGAGATCGGAGGGGTCGCAGCCCTTCCTCCGACGGCAGCGAGGACCATTGTGCTGTTCTGGGTGCGTGGAGCACCCAGCACAATGCAATCAACACAGGACAGCTGTAAATGGCCACCCTCGGTTTCCCCTCTCCCCTTCCGCGTTCCCTAGCTCCCCTTGTGCTCCCAGGTAGGGGTTTCACTTCGTGCTCTGCTGCCTGGGGATCAGGTACAGCTCACCCTGTTTGGGGGCTGGCTCTGCACCAGTTATGGGTTCTGGTTGCTATTGTGAAGCTGTTGATATTAACACTCCTGTAACGTGGATTTCCTCCGTGGGCTGGTAGCACGGGCCCACTAGACGAGGGGCAACAGAGAGCAATTACCCTTAATGACTGCACCCTGACCACTCGGCTGGTAGGCGAAGGGAGGTGGCTGACGCTGAGAGGACCAGTGCTCGCCAGCCTCTCAAGAGGGGGAATGGAAAATTCCCCAATGGAGGGGCAAAGCAGGGTGTTAAGAGGACTCCTGGGGAAGAGTGAGAAAGCCACACTGGGAGTTTTGGGCAGGTGGGGAAGAGCCGGGTTGGCTTTTGTAGCAGATGGGACCTGGCTTAGCTGCGGGACCAACCAAGGTCAAGACAAGCTGGCCAAGCGAGGCTCCAGGGTTCAGAAGTCAAACCGGGAGCTGTAGCAGGAGGCCTGGACATCCCCAGAGGACCCAGAGCCCAGCCCAAAGAATGCTCTGGAGGGTACAGAAGCCGAGGCAGGGAAATAGGGGCAGGGTTTATATTTTTGTGCAGATCTGTTTCTTGTGCTATTAGGCAGAGAGCAATGGCGGTTAGGATCCTGTGTGAAGTCTGACTATGTGTGATAGCCTGTGCCTACCACATGCTCTCGAAGAGTTGACCTGTGACCAGAGCACCCATGTGGCCAGGGTTCAGGAAGTGGGGATGCTTAAGCTGTTGAAGTGTCTGGGGGTCAGCACTGGACCCTGGGCAGCTGGACCGTGAAGTCTCAGCTCTCAGGAGGGGGTGTTAGAGCTGCACCCCAAGAGTGTCTGGAGACCCCAAGCCAGGCATGGCCTCGGCTCAGTTCAGACTCCAGCAGCTGGATCCCCTCACAGCAGTTTGGTCAGTGCCCAAGATGGGGGATTGGCCCAACCTGTGATGCTCAGGGCTGGGCTCAGACAATGCTGCTGCAGGGCACCAGCCCCATCCAGCCCCGCGTGCTGACGCTCAGCGCTCCTGCTCCAGCACGGCCTGGGGTCGAGCCCCAGCTGTCTCAGCGTAAAACCTCCTGGGGCACCAGGTGTTCCCTTTCCTTGTGGCCGTTAGGGCCTAGCACTGGTTCCCCGGCTCCCCACCGACACAGCACCACCCCAGGGCGTGACCCTTGTTCCCGGCAGGACAGTGTGGGGCAGGCATAGGTGGGGCTGATGTCCAGGGCGGGGGCCTTGTTACCAGCACAGCGGGATTTCTGGACCTGGGTATTTCCCATCCCTGTCTGCCACCCTGCGTTTCAGGGCAACGCTTCGTTGTGCCCCCAGCTGGCATCCCCCCTCCCAGCCAGGCATGGGGAGATGCTGCGATGCCCTTTCTGTGCACTCTGGGCGGCTCCTGGGCAAGCGAGGGGCTGTTCTGCAGCGGGGAGAGAGCCATGGCCCCCGCATGGCTGTTCCCCTAACCTCCTTTTCCCTGCCCCCCTCAGGGCTCTTCTCTTCCTTTCTCCTCCCTCTCTCGCTTTCCCTTCCCTTTCCTCTCCGTGCGCTCTCCCCTCCCCCATGCCTCCTCCTTCCCCCCTTGTTCTCCCTGCTCCTCGCCCTCCCCCCTGTTCTTTGCTGACACTTTCCAGCCTGCGGATTTCACAGGTCAGCTCCCTTTAATTAGCCGGGATTCCAATCTTCTCTCCTCTCCCAGCGTGGAACTGCAGGTTCATAAAATTCTCATTAACCTTAATTCCACCACTGGCTCCCTCCCTGCCCGTGCCTGGGGTCAGGCTGGGAGGGCGGGGGTCTGCTGGCACTCCAGCCCCTCCGCTTTACCCACTGCGGGGTGGCCTGGGGTGCAGTGGGCCAGGCGGGTGTGCACAGGCTAAGGGGCTGGCAGTCCTGCCCCCCTCCCCTCCCGATAATTGCTGTCCAGTGCCTCGCTTCTCCTGACCTGCTGCTGCTGCTCTCTGGCTGGAAACTGACCTTTCATCTGCGACCTGGCGCTGAAACTGGCGGGAAGAACGCACCGAAACCCTCAGCCCAATGGGGGCCGCCGAGACTTGCTCCCAAGTCACAACCCGCCTCTTCGAATTTACACTAGGGGCATGTCTCTTTAATTGCTCCTTTAACCTGTCACCCCCCACCCCATCCTCTCTGGGGCCAGGCAGCAGGCACTGGCTGCAGGATGTATACCGACCGGGGGGGGCCATACCTAGAGCAGGCAAATGCCTGGATCTCCCGGACTGGCCTCGAGGGCTGGGTGTGCCAGGCCCGAACACAGCACAGGGGGGCTGAGCAGCAGCAATAGGCTGCCCTGGCTGGCCTTGCTCCCGCTACAGGGCCCTGACAAACAGTCCAGATGCAAGAGCCCCTGTGGCCCATTCTGTCAGCTGAGAACAGCTGGAGCACGAGGACCCTCTTTCCTTCTGCCCCAGCCCCTGTGCTGGCACCTAGGAGGGGCTGCTCCTACGCTGCAAGGGGGGATCCCTTGAAGCCTCCCCTGCAGCAGGACGCAGGCTTCCTCCCAGTGGGTTCTGTATTTTGGGCTGCAACTGGATGCATCCCTCAGAAACGAGGGGCTTTTTCTTCACTAGAACCTGCACCGGTGCTGCACCAGGTGATGGGGGAAGAACTGACCTCTCTGACGCTGCTGCAAGCCCCAGGCCATTAGTCGAGCTGGATGCCTAATCTAGCCCTGCAGGTGCAGTACCAGGGAGGGCTGAGATCTAGGGGTAGCGGGTCCAGCTGGCAGTGCTGGAGTTGGGGATGCACAGGAGAAACAGCTCACTCCCCACCTTCCTTGCCAGTGATTTGCAGGTTACAGGATGCCTGCTGAGAGAGCGTGGGTCGGCGTCACTGCCCGGATGGCTGTGCTCAGAGCAGTCTCCTTAGTGCTGCCGTCTGTTGTTTTAATGTTACCACGCCCCCGCCTTCCACGCCCCCGCCGCCCTCGAAGGCAGGGACCAGCAAACACCCCCTTCCTAGCAGAGCCGGTCAAACACTGTCACGCTGGGGGACACTCCAAAGCAGCTGCTTAAGGCAAAACATGGCCGGGGGGGGTCACCAGCGCATGTGTCACTGCACTTCCCTGGGCCATGCCAGTGCACCCTTGGCTCCGGAGCTGGTCGTAGGTGTGACGAAGTGGGACTGTTCTTAATGTTTCCTCTGAATAGTGTGGGAGGTGCCTCAGTTTCCCCATGGCAGTTCTTAAGTATCTAGGGGGTGGGGTAAGGGTGTATGATCATTGCAGAGCCCTAGAGGGCAGGTGTGTGCAGGGGTCTGGACACAGAGAATGGCCGACACCCTGTTTCCTGGCAACGGATGGCCTGGCCCTTCCCCCCTGCAAGGTGAGAGCTAAAGGGTTGGAGAACAAAGGAATCCGGTGACCTCCTGGCCCGGGAAAGGGACAAAGCCCAGAGGAGGAGGGGCTGGAGAGAGTTTCAGTTTGGGGCTGGCTGGGGACATGGAGTGAAGGGCAGACGTGGTTGTCTGGCTCACTGCCCCCAAAATGGACCCAGCTGAGAGGTCCTGTTCTCTGCACCTACAAGCTCTGTGTTAGACCATGTTCCTGTCGTCTAATAAACCTGTTTTACTGGCTGGCAGAGAGTCACGTCTGACTGCGGAGTTGGGGGGCAGGACCCTCTGGCTTCCCCAGGAGCCTGCCTGAGCGGACTCGCTGTGAGAAGCGCACGGAGGGGCAGAGGATGCTGAATGCTTCGAGGTCAGACCCAGGAAGGTGGAAGCTGTGTGAGCTGTGTGCCCTCCAGACAGGCTGCTCACAGAGAGGAGACTTCCCCAGGGTCCCGCTTGGCTTCGTAGGGAGCAGTTCCAGAGCATCGCCCAGGGACTCCGTGAGAACTGGTGGCAGAGCTGGGATCTACTGCACCCCATGGATGGCACTTCCTGCAGTAAGTGACAGGGGAGCAGTAAAACGAAGGGGGACCTGTGGAAAAGCCCCGGTGTCTAGCTCCCTTGCTGGGTCCCAAGGCCATAGACTCCATCAGCCTGGTGGGTGGGGAGGTGGACAGGCTCCCACTCCTGACCCCAACCTATATGTCTGTGTGGAGTTTCCTGGGGCCAGGCCCCTCGGACCTCCAGTGGGAGCGGAAGGTGATGGTCAATGGGGAGACATTCCTGGGGTGGCGAGATCCTGGGACAGAGAGAACTGTTGTCAGGCCCTGGGTGGTGCAGCCTCAGATGCTGAGGGCTGGGTGAAGGATGAAGCCCCTCGCCCTCCCTATGGCCTTGTGCAGACCCAGGAGGGGTCGGGCTGGCTGGCCGTTGGGGTTCTCCAGGATACCACCTGCAAGACCCTGTTGTGGGGTGACTGTGTCTCTTTGGGGCAGGATCCAGGCCTTGCTCCTGTAACTGCCGAGGGTTTAAATTTGAATCCAGGGAACCAATCGGTGGAGAGGAAAATGGTCAGTGCAAATGTAGGTTTCAGAGTAACAGCCGTGTTAGTCTGTATTCGCAAAAAGAAAAGGAGGACTTGTGGCACCTTAGAGAAATAAATTGGTTAGTCTCTAAGGTGCCACAAGTACTCCTTTTCTTTTAGTGAAAATGTAGATGACCTGGCTGGCAGCAGGGAGGAGCTGCTAGGCTCAGGATACCTGCCTGCCTGTAACCAGACCCCTGGGGCTGGGTGGGACGGGGGGGGGGGTCAGGGGCTCACGCTGGCTCTGATGCAGTGATGAAAGCAGTGAGCTCGCTGCCTACCCCACTGGGACAGCAAGGGCAGCGCTGAGCACAGTGGGAGCTGAGACCCCAGCTGAGTGGGGGGAGACACAGGCAGGGCAGGGGATCTGTGGGGAGTGGCAAGGTGCTCGGTAAGGAAAGTCTGGATGAGCCTAGGCAGCCTTGTGAGCTGATGGCTGTGTCTAGTCAGCAGGGCGGGAAGGCGAGGAGAGTGGCAGATGAGTGTCCCTGGCCCTTACCTGTTAGCTGGGTGGAGAATTGTGACAGTGAAGGGAATGTGTCTGTGTCTGTCAGGGGTATTGACTTGCCTATGGAGGGAGCTACCCCGGTCTCCAAGCAAAAAGAAAAGGAGGACTTGTGGCACCTTAGAGACTAACCAATTTATTTGAGCATAAGCTTTCATGAGCTACAGCTCACTTCATCAGATGCATACCGTGGAAACTGCAGCAGACTTTATATATACACAGAGAATATGAAACAATACCTCCTCCCACCCCACTGTCCTGCTGGTAATAGCTTATCTAAAGTGATCAACAGGTGGGCCATTTCCAGCACAAATCCAGGTTTTCTCACCCTCCACCCCCCCACACAAATTCACTCTCCTGCTGGTGCTAGCCCATCCAAAGTCTCCAAGCAGTTGTCTGTGACCAGCCCTGTGTGCTGGGACAAGGGGAGAGAGGTCCCAAGCTGTGTGTCTGGGAAAGGAGAAAGTGTGTCCAGCTCTTCTTTGTCTATGCAGCAGACAGAAGGGGCCTTTCAGCCTGTGACGGTTGAGGGTCGTGCAGTTGTCTCAGAGCTGGTTCTGGGTTCAGCTAAAGCCCAGGAAGGGAATGGTCCTAAGTTTGTGTCTGCTCGGGAGAATGGCCCTGTAACTAGGTCGCATCCAGTTAGTGTCTACGTAAAATCCCAGAGCCCAGACAATTCTGGTGCTTGTATTTTGCCTGTTGCTAGTGTGTTGTTGGGAAAGGGTGTAGGAACTCTGTCTGATCAGGGTGAGATCCTAGCCAGGGCACAAGGAGAGCATGAAGGTGTGTGATTGTGTTACCTACGGAGGGTGTGGAAACCTGTAGCAAGAAGGAAAAGATTCCTGAACATGCGTGTGGCAAAGGGAAGGAGAATGCTTCTGACGTTTGTGAGTTTGCCTGAAAGGGGATTGTGTGGGAATCTGCCGGAAGGGCCAGAGGTAATTCTGGATGTAAGGGAGACTCAGAAAGAGTCTGTTGTTGCTCAGGAAAGTGTTCCTCTAGAGCAAGCCCTAGGTAAAGAGGGTAAGAGCGGAATTTCTGTGAGGGATGAATTGTTGCACAGAAAAGCCCCTAGGGAAAGGAATCCTCATGGAGTCTTTGCAAGCAGTTTACTGCAACTGAAGGGTGTGAAAGTGATTTAATCAAGAAAGCTTCAGTTCCTTAACAGCCAGAAATTTTCTGTTGTGAATGGATCCACTGACTGTCCTGTTGAAAGATCCAGTGTGGATAGCTTGGAGAAGGTCTTAGATGGAGTTAAAGCTGTTAAGAAAGTTAAACAGTCCTATAACCAAGTGGCTGTGTTTGGCCAGCTTGTTGGGGAGAAGACCCAATCCCAGTTTGATCCCCTGGGGTTTTGGGGGTGGGCAAAGGGCACGGGCTGCATAAACCTTCCCACATGTGGCCTGCGAATGTTATCGACCAAGGGAGGGCGTGAAACTGGAAGGGCCTGGTGTAACTCCTACCAAGGAATGGGAGAGATGCTGGGGCATCCATGGGAACATTGGTGGCTTCGAACTTCCCCAGGTCACTGGCTAAAGTGACCCCGCTCAATTCGATCTCGAAGAGGGGAGAGATGTGATGAAGTGGGACTGTTCTTAATGTTTCCTCTGAATAGTGTGGGGGTGCCTCAGTTTCCCCTATGGAGTTCTTAAGTATCTAGGTGGTGGGGTAACGGTGTATGATCGTTACAGAGCCCTAGAGGGCAAGTGTGTGCAAGGGTCTGGACACAGAGAATGGCCGACACCCTTTTTCCTGGCAACTGATGGCCTGGGCCCTTCCCCCTTGCAAGGTGAGAGCTAAAGGGTTGGAGAACAAAGGAATCCGGTGACCTCCTGGCCCGGGAAAGGGACAAAGTCCAGAGGAGCGGGGGCTGGAGGGAGTTTCAGTTTGGGGCTGGCTGGGACATGGAGTGAAGTACAGACATGGTTGTCTGGCTCACTGCCCCCCAAAATGGACCCAGCTGAGGGGTCCTGTTCTCTGCACCTACAAGCTCTGTAAAAAGAAAAGGAGGACTTGTGGCACCTTAAAGACTAACCAATTTATTTGAGCATAAGCTTTCGTGAGCTACAGCTCACTTCATCGGATGCATTCAGTGGAAAATACAGTGAGGAGATTTATATACACACAGACCATGAAAAAATGGGTGTTTATCATACACATTGTAAGGAGAGTGATCACTTAAGATGAGCTATTACCAGCAGGAGAGTGGGGTGGCGGGAGACAAAACCTTTTGAAGTGATAATCAAGGTGGGCCATTTCCAGCACATTTGCAGGAGTTAACAAGAATGTCTGAGGAACAGTGGAGTGCGGGGAGGGGGGGAATAAACAAGGGGAAATAGTTTTACTTAGTATAAAGAAAAGGAGTACTTGTGGCACCTTAGAGACTAACCAATTTATTTGAGCATGAGCTGTAGCTCACGAAAGCTCATGCTCAAATAAATTGGTTAGTCTCTAAGGTGCCACAAGAACTCCTTTTCTTTTTGCGAATACAGACTAACACGGCTCTTCCTCTGAAACCTGTCATTACTTAGTATAATGACTCAACCACACCCAGTCTCTATTCAAGCCTAAATTAATTGTATCCAATTTGCGAATTAATTCCAATTCAGCAGTCTCTCCTTGGAGTCTGTTTTCAAAGTTTTTTTGTTGAAGGATAGTCACTTTGAGATGAGAAATCGAGTGACCAGAGAGATTGAAGTGTTCTCTGACTGGTTTTTGAAAGTTATAATTTTTGACATCTGATTTGAGTCCATTTATTCTTTTACATAGAGACTGTCCAGTTTGGCCAATGTACATGGCAGAGGGGCATTGCTGGCACATGATGGCATATATCACATTGGTAGATGTGCAGGTGAATGAGCCTCTGATAGTGTGGCTGATGTGATTAGGCCCTGTGATGGTGTCCCCTGAATAGATATGTGGCAGAGTTGGCAACGGGCTTTGTTGCAAGGATAGGTTCCTGGGTTAGTGCTTCTGTTGTGTGGCGTGTGGTTGCCGGTGAATATTTGCTTCAGGTTGGGGGGCTGTCTGTAGGCAAGGACTGGCCTGTCTCCCAAGATCTGTGAGAGTGATGGGTCGTCCTTCAGGATAGGTTGTTGATCCTTGATAATGCGTTGGAGAGGTTTTAGTTGGGGGCTGAAGGTGACAGCTAGTGGCGTTCTGTGTTAGACCATGTTCCTGTCGTCTAATAAACCTCTGTTTTACTGGCTGGCTGAGAGTCACGTCTGACTGCGGAGTTCCGGGGCAGGACCCTCTGGTTTCCCCAGGAGCCTGCCTGGCGGACTCGCTGTGGGAAGCGCACGGAGGGGCAGAGGAGGCTGAATGCTCCGAGGTCAGACCCAGGAAGGTGGAAGCCGTGTGAGCTGTGTGTCCTGCAGACAGGCGGCTCACAGAAAGGAGACTTCCCCAGAGTCCTGCCTGGCTTCGCAGGGAGCAGTTCCAGAGCATCGCCCAAGGACTTCATGACAGTATGAAATCCGGGGAACGTTTCAGCGGCTGTAGCCTGGTCTGCCTGGGAAAGTTTTACCAGTTACAGCGATCTAGTTACCCCCGTGAAATCCCCGAGACACTGCTGATAACTGGGGCTCCAATTTTACCCAGTGGGCTCACCTGTGAAAAGTGCATGAACATTCCTCAGATGTCACCATAACCAACGCTAACCAACGCTGGTGGGGAAGAGGGAGACGGACAGAGTTAGTCTGGAGTTAGTCCAGCCTCCTGCTAGAACTCAGGGACTGTATTAGGGTCATGCGTGATAAATAAGAAAAGAATCAATTAACCAAACTGGTGGGTTGGAAACTAGGCCTAACTGGTGGACAAAGTCCTGAGGGGCTGGGCTGTTCCCCCCAGCACTGCCTTCGAGGGGCCTTACAGAAAAAGACTTTGGGGAGAAAGTTGGCTACTGGAGCAAGCTTCGCCCTCATGGCTGCCACCCCTGGTGACCCCAGGCCTCCATTGTCCTGATCCTGAGAGGTGTCCTGACCAGCCCGGGCTGGAGGGAGGGACCCAGATGACATCGCCACCTCTGCTGGCTCCAGCTGGATCCCAACCACGCCTGGGATGAAATGGGATCAGACTTTAACAGCAGCAGCCCCAGCCCATCTCAGCTCACTGCTCTTTTCCCCAAAGGACAGTTACTGCCATCCCTGATACCAGCTAAAGATGGTCAGACAAGGGTCCTTCTAAAACCCTCCCCAGCTACAGGGACAGGGAACAAGGGATGGGATTAAAACGGAAGCCTTATTTAATGCTTTATGTTTCAAAGGCTTTAACTGTTTTCCCTTCTCTTCTGTAGCTTTAATAAAAGGTTAAAAGGAGTTTTCCTGGGGTGTTTGCCACGGTGCTGAGCAGGCTGAGGTCTCTGAATTCCAAACCCTGGACTTTCTTTAATGCTGGACAGTGATTGGCCCATGTATCCCATCTAAATTAATACACCACCACTCTTGTTTCCATTTGTGAGTGGCTTTTTTCAGCTCACCAGCCACCCAAGTGATAGATGCTAAGCTGAAAAAGGCCCCCTTCTAGGAAATGGAGCATGATATCAGGCTTAAAGTCGTACCTTAAGGTACACTGAAAAAACCTTCTCAGGTAGACAAGGCCCAAGAGACTCAGGGCAGGTCTACACTGAAAACGCGGCATTGGTGACAGGAGAGAGCTATGTCTGTGGGGAGAGCACAGCACTGTCTACATGGGAGGTGAAATCGGTGTAACTGTCTCAGACAACCCTGAGCAACGTAGTTCTATCAGGACAGTCTAGTGTGGACCAGACTGTAGCAACCTAATTCCCATTGACTTTCAGTGAGATTTAGGCTCCTGCGTGCCTTAGGGCTTGTCCACACCTAGAACGCTACAGCTGCGAGTGCTTCAGTATAGACACTGCCTGTGCCGATAAGAGGGACTCCCCCGTCAGCGCAGGTTCTCCACCTCCTCAAGAGGCGACAGCTAGCACTGTCTGCACGGGAACTTAGGTCAGCTTATTGCTCAGGGTGTGGATTTTTCACACCCCGACCTACGTAGTTAAACCAACTTAGTGTAAACCAGGTCTTACTTAATTTTTGAAGTGGGGCTTGGACTCCTAAATCACTTTGATGCTTTTGCAAATTGGACCCCAAAGCCCATGTGTTATCTGCCCAGGCAGGGTCCTGGGCTCTCCACCCTCCGTGGCAGGACTCTCAGAGCTGGACGGTGCGCCATGTTTCCCGAAGCCAGATCAGGCTCCGGCCAGACTCGGGTAGCAGCTTTCACAGCCCAGTCAGCCCTGGCTAGAGGATTACGGAACAGGCCCTTTGCTGTTTTTCTCCTTCCCTTTTTGTGGCACTCACATGCAATAACAGAGGGTTTGTTCTCTCCCATAATGAGGGCCTTGCAGTGGTATCACCTCCCAGCTCTTTTAGCAATTATAAAAGAGGGGGAAAAAAGAAAGCCGCATGCCTCTCTCTGCAGAGCCCCGTGTGGCGGTTCTGGGGGTGAACTCCGGAAAGGTTACAGCCCATTTGCATTTTACCCTTCAGTAATTTTAACACTTGCGGGTGCAATTAAGAGGCGAGTCTGGAGTTATGAAGCTATCAGTGCGCTGAGACCTGAATACTAACAAACTCCAATGTGCATTTGCCTTCCTGGGCCGTCTGATTTATCAGTGATAAAACTGCAATAATGCCGGTAGATTTCCATCGGCCGCTGTAATGGGGCTTGACTACATTAAATGCACATTTTTTAACTTGTCTGATAGCCCAGCCTCCTAAAAGACATTTAAGTGATGGGTTTAGTGCTCATTATGGATAGGCCATTGATAGCCACAGAGAGAAAGAGTCGTCTGTTATTTTAATAGAACGGCAAACCCGAGACTCCTCTGAGGCCACCAAGTGCATCCCTGTAGCCCAGCTGTGAGCAGGAGGGATTACCTTGTAGTCTCCTTGCCACGCTCGTCCCAATGCGTGCTCCATACTGTTCTGCCAGCGGAGCCCTGTGCCGGCCTGGAGGGACACTTCTCCTTTCCCCAGTGCCCGAGAGGCTGGGTTTCCAAAGGCCTGCGTGTAGCCGCACGATTCACATTTGATCTTCCAAAACCAAATTCTCCTCAGGGAAAGCCCCAGGATGTGTGCTGTGCCGAGGGCAGGGGCACAGGGTCAGGGCAGAAAAGGTACAACAACCTCCTCTTCACATGCAGGGTTCTGTAAACCTCCTGTCCCTGCGGGCCTGGCTGGGCAGAGGGTGGGAGAACCGGTCAGCCCCAAGCCACTTGAGAGAAGCTGCTCTTTCCTAGCGCCCTCACCCTGAGGTGGTGGCTCTGACTGGTCTCGGGAGGGACCAGCAGTTTGGGTTTGCAATGGCTGTATGAACGTTTGCTTTGGTTTCTCTCTGTGCAGCTGATCAAACCTGTGGCCCGGTTCTCTGCTTGGTTACGCTAGTGACTCCAGAGCATCTTCATCTACAAGCAGAGAGACGTTGGCTTTACCTGGGGTCACTGAGCACAGGATTCGTCTGGCTGTGCTTCGCTCTCAGACTGTCGGTGAGTTTGTATTTTGTAGCTCCCCTCCAGGTTGGCCCCATGCCCCCAGAACCAGCTGCCCTGAGCTGTGCAGAAGCTCAGCCCAGCTTGGGATGTCGTGACTTGGGACCGTCCCAAGTTCTGAGATCAAATGAACCCCAAAAGCTCAAAGCGAAGCTCGGACAAACGGGGTGAGTTGCATCTGGTTTTGCACTCAGCCCTTGTGAAACTGCTGGTTCCAATGGGAAGTGGGGAACCGAGTCCAGGTTGGATCAGTTTGTCAATGGGCTCACAGCGCTAACAAACCTTCTAGTGCACCTGGGCAGAGTGTCAAGTCTGTAAGGAAGCCCCAAGCTAGGGGAGTCTCCCAGGGATTGGGATTTTACACCAGTAGTTCACTTGGCTCTAGTCAGAACCCAATGCTCTTCTATACACAGGAGGTGGGTCAGACCCCCTAGAAACCCACTCCCCCTTTGGACCGGCAGTAGGGTCAGATACAACTGAGATAAGGGCCTGGGTGTTTTAGACCTTGTAATTGGGCAGAGTCCATACCACAGGAGGAGGGGCTGGGAGCTGCCACCTTACCAACAGTCATGTTGGAAGGGTTTGCTTTGGCTTCAGCAGTTCCTGTGCACCCTTCTCTTTGGACCAGCCTGTGCCTGGCAGAAGTGGATGTGGCAGGTGCAGCAGGGGCGCTATCTGGTGATTAAGGGGTTAACTTCAGCTCAGCTTTCCTGTCCTCTTGTGAAGGTGGCTGGGGGGAGGGTTGGGTTTGGCACCGCAGGTTATAGGTGTAGGTAAAACCCCAAAGCCGTAGTGGGAGGGGGAGACCGAGACCATTTCTGCCCCTGCGTTTTCAGCTTGTGTCCCTAGTGGTGGAGGTCTCTGCCTTTTTCTGACTTGGGGGTTGCTTTGTGCGTGGGGGAAGAGGTGGGCTGCTGGGATTAGATCCTCAAAACCACCAACTAGGGTATGGCCCATTTACCCAGCAAAGGAGCCAGCCAAGATCTCTGCAGGCTCATTGCATCTGTGTCTCTGACCACGGCTATTCCGTTCTTTCTTCTTGCACCTGACCACAAACTCTCTTGCCAGTGCTAGGTTTTCTGAAAGGAGGGTGCTGGTCCTTTAAGTTTCACCACAAATTAATTGGATACTTTTGAGCTCAGTCTCATGATTTCTTCTTTTTTTTCCTGAAGCAATTTGGTCTGAGATTTCTTTCTTTCCCTCTATTATCCACTCTGATTAACTCAACCGCACCTGTCAGCTTTTATTCCATGGAGCGGGGAGTAGCTTGCAGAAACCTGTTAAAATGCATGAGTTTTATCACATTCACTCTTTCCTGGCCAACCATGCTGAACTATAAGCAGGAATGGGATGGAGCTGACAGGGAGAATGCAGCTGCTGGCTCCTACCCAAAGGCAGAGCCCTTTCTGGCTAGCAAATAATTCCCTGGCTTGCCAGGGGGTTCTAAGGAAGTCACTTATAGCGACCTGGCCAAAGAGCTCAGTGCCCACTTAGGCACCTATTGGAGAGGGCAGGTTTCCAAAAGTGTCGAGCACGCCGTTGCTCCCACTGAGAGCAATGGAGAATCCGGCTGGGACAGCTGGTCCTCAGTGACTCCTGCTTTCCCTGCCCTCCGGCCTGGGATATAATTATTGTTCCTACATGGAACTGAGCTGGGACTTTGCAGCTTTTAGGCCCCAAGGACTCCCAGCCATGGGGGCAACATAACACCCACTGGTGGCCTTGACCTGGGAAGGGCTCCACCCTGTGTCTAGAACTGTCTGACCCCTTTGCTGGCAGTCTCGGCACAGCGACCAAGGAGGGAATAAGCTGCCTCTCCTCCCTAAAAGTTAGGGCTCAGGACCACAGGGGGGCGAATGAGAACGGAGACAGCCCAGCTTTGCAGCGAGCAGAGGGTTTTGTCTGTAGCTGATGCCCCGCAGCCAGCCAAGCCAACGCCTGTCACCAGCCGTCAATTCACTCGTACAAAGACAGCAACGGGCCATGGGACAGCAATGGGATGAGCTGTGAACCTTGATTCAGTCATGCCAGCCTCTGGGCAGGTGTGATCTCTTGCAGATGGGGCTGGCATAGTTTTAGAGCAGTTCAGGGGAAGTATGACACAGGAAATTAACTTCCTTCTCAGCCCCATGGAAGCGAGGCCCAGGGTGATGTCCAGGGTAGGACAACATGGGCTCAATGTAGCAATGAATTCCCTTCTGCCTACGGCAGAAGCTGCTCCCTGGGGTTAGGAGGGTCCTTCTCTCCCAACCTGTCATCTGTGAGAGTCACCCCCAAAGACAGCCCCTGGGCAGCAGGACATCTGTATGGGGTACTACAGCACTGAGGTTGGGGTGAGTCGCCTGGGGCCTCGTGGCTCTATTCATGTGACGGTTCCTGTGGGGACGGTGGTGGATGAGATCCAGGAGTGAATGAAGAGGCAGAGGTGAGGACTGACTGGGCAGGGTGGCTGAGGGAGTCAGGCTGATAGGAGTGACAAGGGAGTCAGGCCAGCCTTCCCTGTTGACTGCTCTCAGGGGTCCTGGGAGGAGGGACAGCTCAGGGAGGGCGCAGCAGAATGGAGCATTTTGGCTGTGGCCTACGTAACTTCGAATTTTGGGTGCCCAGTTGGAGAACTCCAAAGCAGCTTGCACTGGGCTCCAGCAAATGGGCAAAATCAGTGGCCACTTTCAAACATTTTGGCCTAAAAGTGCCCTTCAGTGAAAGGGCAAGTTAGTGTGGTGCAGGGGTCGAAATGGGACTGGGGAGGCAGAGTTCCTGTGTCCTATTCCTGCCTGGCTAGAGGTAGGCAAGCCACTTAGCTTCTCAGCCTGCTTGCTCCTCTCCAAGACAGGGACACTGATGCTGGTACCTCCCTCTGGGAGAGGCTGTTGGGAGGCTTGATTGACTCCTGTTTGCAGAGTGGGTTGAGATTCTCTGTGGAAGAGGGTGCAGCAGGGTGGGATCGGGGGGGGGGGCGCTGTGCGTGTGCACAGAGAACATCTCGCTGGAAACTTGATTTTTTTCCACTGTGCAGCACTTCTCACTCCAGAAAAATTGTTTATGTTGCTTTTGCCTGGTCGGGAAAACTGAGAGCTCTTCTGAGGCAGACACAGACCTAGCAGGAGAGAGACACTCCCCCCTGCTGCGCGTCCCCCCCCCGCCACACTCCAGCAAAACATTTCTTAGTTGCTGCAGATTTACTGCTTTGCAAATGCTAATTTTACATTCCAATTATAACTTGTTCCCTTTTTCTCATTTTAATAAAAGCGAACGCATCCGGAAACATTACTGCACCCGGGAAAGAGCAAGATCTGACATAATTCAAAAGTGGCTTCAATCAGGCTGTTTTCCTAATGGTTTGTCATATCAACCCACAACTCCCAGCAATCCCCCCTTTACTCCCAACCCCCTGAGGCATCATTTACATTTCTTAATAACCCCTCATTAATATTCATGATGTGGGGAGGGTAATAACGGCTGAGTGCACACCACTAATTCAATTTCAGTGAGCCTCAGTGTGTTTAGTTAATCACCGGGGGACCTGGGTTACTCAGTACAATTATTTATTCGGAATTAGATCTTGAGGCATCTGGATTGAAAAGTGAACTAGGAATAAAATTAAAAAGGGATTCTCCTCCTCTGTGCGCTCATCTTATTGTAGCTTCCCCCCGGGGCGCCCCCCTCACCCCCTGCCAGAGGTGCCGTGCACCTCCCCGCGTTGCAGCAGGGCTGAATAGAAAAACTGTTGGTTTTTTAGTGGCGCTTCAGTTGCACTGATGGGGAATCATCATGACAGCGGTTTGTTTGTTTTTTCCTTTTAAGAAATTGTTCCAAGGCAGGGGCCATCTCTGAGCCGCACGGGACAGCCCCGAGCAGGATCCGCCCACGCAGTCTGTGGCCTCAGGGTCTGCTGCAGGGAAGGAAGTGGAGTGGTGGTTACCTCCCCAGCTGCGCTGCAGCAACCGGCCTTTGGCCCTGAAAGGGGTGAGGCTACCCTGGGAGTCAGGAGCCCAGGCATTAGCTGGCATGTGTCTGATCCTGCCACCCAGGAACGGGGCTGCCTCTGAACCTCTAACCCACACAATTTCCTCTCTCATCTAGAGATATGACTGGCTGGGAAATGCCTGCGTTCGCCTGTCCTGTTTCCATCCCCCTCCCTCTCTCTGGCTCATTCTCATTAATAATGGATCCAGCTGCCTCCTCTTGTAATCTTCACAGTCTGGCTCAGACATGGCTGAATCGCCTTCTCCGGGCACATTCCTCCCAGTGGAAGGGGATGGCTTAGAAAGCACCCCCGCCTCCCCGCCCCACGCCTACTCTGTGCTGACAGCTGCTTGGGGACTGGTGTTTACTGTGTCTCTCTCACACCCTGGACTCTGCTGTCCCTTAATGTTCATTTCCCTTTTTTCTCCCTCTTTCCATTGCAAAAAAGCAGCTGCTGAGCATTGCGAGGGGAAGGGGGGATTAGGAATATCAGGGACGAGAGGCACTGGATAGCTCAGAGGCTGGTACCAACACAAGTCCAGTCCTTTGACCCTCTGCTCCCATGTAGGTCTAATCACTGACAGCACTTCCTCTGCCCTTATACAACAGCTGTATCTGCCACTGTCCTAACGCACACACGTGTCTGAGAGATGCTGCCGACAACCGAAATGAAAGCGAGAACTCAGAAGAGGGAGAGGAAATGATAAATAATTTAAATATAAAAAGGAATAGAAAACCTCAGTCAAACACGCCTCACTTTCAACAGCTCTTTCTTGTGTCCTGGTGGAACAATTTACATGGAAAACTTCCTGCTGGCAGTTTAATGGCTGCACGGTGTCTCCTTGGGTGTTGTGCAATGCCAAGGCTCGCCTGGGTTTTCAGGCCTGTCTCTGTTACTGCTGTTACTCACTGGTGGTGTTATGGCAGCAGCTAGAGGCCCCAGCTGAGACTAGGGAGCGCACTGTGCCAGGTGCTGCATGCCCACTTAGTGAGAGCCAGGCCCTGCCCTGAGGAGCTCACAATCTAAGCAGATAGGAGGTGGGAGGGGAGACAGAGGCCCAGAGAGGGGAAGTGACTTTCCCAAGGCCACACAGAAAGTCAGTGGCAGAGCCAGGAATAGAAGTCAGGTCTCCGGACTCCCAGCCCAAGGCCCTCCCCAGCATCCCTGCTGCTGTCGTCCAGTGTAAGCCCTGCTAGGACTCAGTGGCCAAGGTATCGCTGCATGAGCTGACCGATCGTCTTCTGCTACTAGAGGAATGACCGTGTCCCTAGAGCGGGGGGAGGGGGAAGTGACATCTGAACGTGGGGAGGTGAAAGACAGCCTCAGAGGTATCTGAGCGCTGATTGACAGCAGCGTGCAGGCAGCCCAGTGGTGCAGCTTTGTTCTGAACCGTTTGGACTTGGTGGCATATTACACTCACTTAGCCCAGGGTGAATGACGACGTGAGGGGCGGGGCAGGGAGAATCAGTCCTGTGTATCTGTTCCAGAAGCTGCATTTCTGCCCTGCCTCCGGGGGGGGAGCCCGCACTGCCCCAGCGCTGCTTGAGGACGCAACGAGAACTCTGTGATTCACAAAGAACCTTATTCAATAAAAGGTTAGTGCCAAAAAACAGAACAAAGGGTGTGTCTACACTGCCATTAGGCCCCCGGGGCTGGCCTGTGCCAGCTGACTCGGGCTCGCTGGGCTGTTTCATTGCAGTGTGGACCTTCGGGCTCTGGCTGCAGTCCAGGCTCTAGGACCCTGCGAGGTCTCATTAAGTCCTCAGCCTGTCTCCTACAGTGCTGGAGTGAGGGGAGAGAAGTGTTTGCAGGGGGGGCGTCTTTTGGACCAGACGTTTAAAGGCAGAGCACGGCAAAAGCCAACCACGGTTTTGGCAAGCTGGGAAAGGTGCCACACCTGCAGCCACGACGCTGAATGGTCTGGTCTGTGTTTATGGGCACCGTGATGAAGCCTTCCCCCTTCACGCCTGCCTCCCCGAGCAGCAGCGTTGACGCGCCTGATGTGTTGTCAGAGGCCCTGCTCAGCTGATTGCTTATAATGTCTGAGATGATGGAAACGTGGATGCAGCCCCTGAGAGAATGGGCTGGAGATGCTTGTCATAACTTTATCTGCGGGAAGCAAGCTCTTGTCGGCTGGGTGATGGACGACCAAAAGCCGGGGCTGAATGCGCTTCCCAGCTCGGCTTCGTTCACTTGCTGAGCTACTCTGCAGGTGAAAAATGAGTTTCTGGGAAGAGCCATGGGGGGGGGGGGGGGGGGGATTTCAGGAGGGTAGTGCAAGTCGCCAGCACCTTTCCGTGTGTTTCCTTGGTAGCTGTAGGATGTCCTAACATAAATAAGTGACATTCGCTGGTGGACTAGGCGGAACAGCCACCATTGCATATTGGGGATCCCCTCTCCCCCACAAGGCTCACTGTCCCCTGCCTGCCACAAAGGCTGCAATCTGCAGCCTTCTCAAGGGTCATTATTCCTGCTCGAGTACACATGTACAGGAATATGCATATTGCAACAAGAAGGTACGATGAGAAACGAATAAGCCCTGTCAGAGGCTGGTGGTGGGTGGCAGAGAGAAAGGCTGCCTGGTCTCCTGGTTAAATTCTTCCTTGCTTGCTTTTGTGCTGGGCTTAGCCTTAAGGCACCACCACAAAAAGAGGCACAGCTTCTTCTCCCTTCACCCAGGCAGAGCCAAGTGACTTGTGCAAGGAGCAGGTCCAGGTGTTGCTTTTCTATGCTGCTGGGGAGCTTACAGAACGCTGCTAGGGAGAGGTCTCTCCACGAGCTGGATCTGTCTCACCAGACACTCTAGGAGAGCAAGGGCTGTGCTCAGTGAATCTAAACACCTTGCGTGCAGTCCCAGCCCCATTGAAGTCATGGCAAAACTCCCACTGACTTCCGTAGGGGCCACCGTGTCACCCCTCGAGTCTTCATCTCTGCAGACCTGCCTGTAAACTGGCACAAGGAAAGCAAGCGAGGGGTGGTCCCAGCCTAGTCCCCGGCAGGGTGTGTGTCTGCTTTGCAGAAAGTCTGGCACCTTTCGACCCTGTTACTGCTCTCTGGTCAGAAACAGGCTGGCGCTGGACCAGCAGGCAGGGCCTTTCTATGGCCGAGCAGCTCAGAGCTTGGCATGCACCGGCTCGCAAACTCTGTCTGGTTTACGCTGCTGCTGTTGAGGCCTTCATCTCCAAGAGAACTAATCGTAGGGCCTTTCATGCCTTCCCCAGGTGAGACCTTGGTACCTGAATGGCAGGAGCTGCTTTTCATCTCTCTGGCTCTGGTTCTTGGCCTGTTTGTGTCCCCCTGGCTCAGCTGTTTAGCTGCTGGTGATGAATCAAGGCCCCCATCCTGCAAGCTGCTCTGCATAGGCACAGAGCTCTGGATGTGGGGAGCCACGTGCAGGGTCAGGGCCTAAGTCACTGAGGTCGGCGCCAGGGCGGGAGGGGTATGAATGCTGAGTCCCTGGACAGCCCTAGCCTTTCCCTTTGTCTGGGGAAGCAGCTTCTCTCTGCAAGCAAACCACACATACATCCCCCACTGAGAGACATTGTTTTAGGCTATGCAGGGAGTTCCTGACTCGCTGGGTTTTCAGGGGTAGACAGCAGAGGCCCTGCTCCCCCAAGCCTTTAGTTGAATTGTACTTGGCCTTTCTACCATGCCTTTCAGCTGAGGATTTCAAAGTGCTTCCATACAGGTGGGTACATAGCATTATCTCCATTTTACAGATGAGGAAATCTGAGGCTCAGAGTGGTTAGGTGACATGCCCAAGGCCACACAGCAAACCAGTGAGAAGTAGGAATAGAACCCAGGTCTCCTGGCTCCTAGTCCTCTGGTCTAACTGCTAGACACACTGCCTTTCTTCCAGCAGCTGACCTACTTGTTACAGAAGTGGGGCCAATATAATTTCTGGAGTAACCCTATTGTCTTTAAAAAAAAGGAGTACTTGTGGCACCTTAGAGACTAACCAATTTATTTGAGCATGAGCTTTCGTGAGCCACAGCTCACTTCATCAGATGTGTACCGTGGAAACTGCAGCAGACTTTATATACACACAGAGAATATGAAACAATACCTCCTCCCACCCCACTGTCCTGCTGGTAATAGCTTATCTAAAGTGATCAGCAGGTGGGCCATTTCCAGCACAAATCCAGGTTTTCTCACCCTCCACCCCCCCACACAAATTCACTCTCCTGCTGGTGCTAGCCCATCCAAAGTGACAACTCTTTACATAATCAAGTCGGGCTATTTCCTGCATAGATCCAGGTTTTCTCACTTCCCCCCACCCCCGTACACACACAAACTCACTCTCCTGCTGGTAATAGCTCATCTAAACTGACCACTCTCCAAGTTTAAATCCAAGTTAAACCAGAATATCTGGGGGGGGGGGGGGTAGGAAAAAACAAGAGGAAACAGGCTACCTTGCATAATGACTTAGCCACTCCCAGTCTCTATTTAAGCCTAAATTAATAGTATCCAATTTGCAAATGAATTCCAATTCAGCAGTTTCTCGCTGGAGTCTGGATTTGAAGTTTTTTTGTTTTAAGATAGCGACCTTCATGTCTGTGATTGCGTGACCAGAGAGATTGAAGTGTTCTCCGACTGGTTTATGAATGTTATAATTCTTGACATCTGATTTGTGTCCATTTATTCTTTTACGTAGAGACTGTCCAGTTTGACCAATGTAAATGGCAGAGGGGCATTGCTGGCACATGATGGCATATATCACATTGGTGGATGTGCAGGTGAACGAGCCTCTGATAGTGTGGCTGATGTTATTAGGCCCTGTGATGGTGTCCCCTGAATAGATATGTGGGCACAATTGGCAACGGGCTTTGTTGCAAGGATAAGTTCCTGGGTTAGTGGTTCTGTTGTGTGGTATGTGGTTGTTGGTGAGTATTTGCTTCAGGTTGCGGGGCTGTCTGTAGGCAAGGACTGGCCTGTCTCCCAAGACTTGTGAGAGTGTTGGGTCATCCTTTAGGATAGGTTGTAGATCCTTAATAATGCGTTGGAGGGGTTTTAGTTGGGGGCTGAAGGTGACCGCTAGTGGCATTCTGTTATTTTCTTTGTTAGGCCTGTCCTGTAGTAGGTAACTTCTGGGAACTCTTCTGGCTCTATCAATCTGTTTCTTTACTTCTGCAGGTGGGTATTGTAGTTGTAAGAAAGCTTGACAGAGATCTTGTAGGTGTTTGTCTCTGTCTGAGGGGTTGGAGCAAATGCGGTTGTATCGCAGAGCTTGGCTGTAGACGATGGATCGTGTGGTGTGGTCAGGGTGAAAGCTGACAGCTTGTGCCTCACGCTCTCAAAGAAACTGCGGAATCACCTGATCAAGATCCTCTACTGCAAACAGGGAAAGATTAAGAATGAGCTCTCAAAAATGGATACTCTCATAAAGAACCAACCTTCCACACAAACTTCCTCGTGGCTGGATTTTACTAAAACTAGACAAGCCATTTACAATGCACACTTTGCTTCTCTACAAAAGAAAAAGGACACTAAACTTTCTAAACTACTACATGCTACAAGGGGCCACAGCAATGGTTCCCTCACCCCACCTAGCAATATTGTTAACCTATCCAACTATACTCTCAGCCCAGCAGAAGCAGCTGTTCTATCTCGGGGCCTCTCCTTCTGCCCCTCCACCCCCACGAACATGATACAGTTCTGTGGTGACCTAGAATCCTATTTTCGACGTCTCCGTCTCAAGGAATATTTCCAAAATACCTCTGAACAACATACTAATCCACAGAGGTCTCCCTGCCAACACTACAGAAAGAGGGATTCTAGATGGACTCCTCCTGAAGGTCGAAACAGCAGACTGGACTTCTACATAGAGTGCTTCCGCCGACGTGCACGGGCTGAAATTGTGGAAAAGCAGCATCACTTGCCCCATAACCTCAGCCATGCGGAACGCAATGCCATCCACAGCCTCAGAAACAACTCTGACATCATAATCAAAAAGGCTGACAAAGGAGGTGCTGTTGTCATCATGAATAGGTCGGAATATGAACAAGAGGCTGCTAGGCAGCTCTCCAACACGAGTTTCTACAAGCCATTACCCTATGATCCCACTGAGAGTTACCAAAAGCAACTACAGCATTTGCTCAAGAAACTTCCTGAAAAAGCACAAGATCAAATCCGCACAGACACACCCCTGGAACCCCGACCTGGGATATTCTATCTACTACCCAAGATCCATAAACCTGGAAATCCTGGGCGCCACATCATCTCAGGCATTGGCACCCTGACAGCAGGATTGTCTGGCTATGTAGACTCCCTCCTCAGGCCCTACGCTACCAGCACTCCCAGCTACCTTCGAGACACCACTGACTTCCTGAGGAAACTTCAATCCATCGGTGATCTTCCTGATAACACCATCCTGGCTACTATGGATGTAGAAGCCCTCTACACCAACATTCCACACAAAGATGGACTACAGGCCGTCAGGAACACTATCCCCGATAATGTCACGGCTAACCTGGTGGCTGAACTTTGTGACTTTGTCCTTACCCATAACTATTTCACATTTGGGGACAATGTATACCTTCAGATCAGCGGCACTGCTATGGGTACCCGCATGGCCCCACAGTATGCCAAC